GGAGGCGCTATAATTTGCGCCGCGCCTGCAGCTCCACCAACTTCACATTTTTAGCGAGCAAGGACTTCGTCACTGTATTTTGAAGCTTTCGTCACGGAGTTTTTTTTAAGTACATATACATGTACCCGATCAACTCGCTGGAAAGCCGCCATCACGATTGCTAGGTCCACTAGCAACAGTCGCGGTATTGCGGTCACTTCAGTTCACTATCAAGTCAGCATCGCCAGTACTGTACGAGGGTAGGCATCATCTCCGCATCAATCAAATTCGTTGTGATCATCCGAGCTTGGAATCAGTTCGTGATCACGTACCCCATCGACTGGTATATCTACGAGCGACGCATTTACTGGTATCTGCACCCTGCAACATTCATATTGCTTGACCAGAAGCTCTTCCAGATAGCTGCTCTCTTCGTTGATATCTTCACGGAAGGAGATATCGCGTCTCTTGATCAGCTTGCCACTAAGTACTTCCAGTAGTCGATATCCAGCGACTTGGTCGCTTATCCTAAAAAGAGCGTCGGCGCTGCCTTCGGACTCAGCTTGTGCGACCTTTTCTTCTTCGGAACATGTGCAAATGCTACACACCCACGGCTTGTAGATTGCGGACATCTGGCTTCCGACCGGTGATCATCTCGAAGGGTGTGACTTCACCAAGAGCCTTGGTGGGGGCTCATGGTATCCACTTTCCACTACATAGGGTAGTATTTCACCCCAGATCGTCGTTGGTAGTCCCGCCGCTTGTCGAATTGCTCGAACCTTGCTGATAAGGTTGCCATTAAGCTTCTCGACTCGACAGCTGGCTTCCTGCGTGTACGTGCTCGTCATCAGAAGCTAGATCCCGTGCTCCACTAGAAAGCCTTATTGACGAACTTCTTTCCTTGGTCACAGGAAAACTTCATGTTTACGCTCCAACTGCAATATCAGGTTCATCACGTTGGCAGATGCCTCGTCCTTGGTGTGTAACAAGAAGCATCACTTGTATCTCGACGCTTCATCTTATATTAGCTGGAAGTAGCGATTGCCACTCATGGTCTCAAGACCCACGTAGCATACATCAGACATTAGTCGTTCGTAGCATACCTTACTGCGCTTCTCGTGGCGCTTGTAGGACTTTCGCTTCTGCTTAACCATTTGACACGAGATGCACTTCAAAGGCTTGTCGAAATCCGAAGGCTTCAAAGAGTCGAATCCTGAAGCCATGTTCTTCACTACGAGCGGTTTCAGTGCTTGCGCGTTGAGATGTGCAAGCTTCATGTGCCATCTCATGACGGCTGACTGGCGTTCTGCCGCAGTCATCATGCACATTTTGGCATTCGCAGTCGCTCGCTTCACCTTCAGCCAATAGTGTCCGCTCCGCTTGTGTAGGAGAAGACGTACGTCGCCACGATCCAAATGCATCTCCCGGGCTTCAGGAGTTACCGATTCCGAATAGGAAGGCACCCATCCTTGCTGACCCAGTCGTTCAATACTGAGAAGATTACTCATGCCATTGCTAACATAACGTGTGTTCTTAAGTTCGAGTACTACATCTTGACTTCACGTCGTTCGTGCACACGTTCACATGTCCGACTACTTCACTACGAGTTGATTCACCTTGCCATCCAACACACGACATCGTGTCTTCTTGTAAACTCGTGAAAGCCGTCCAGTTGCTACAGACATGCACACCAGCTCATGTGCCGATCATCCACTCATCCCTGAGAGTGGAGCCGTCAGCACCCATTACCATACTGATAGCGTTTTCGCCATGGTCAGTGGACTCGTCCCTTGATTCACCCCATCGTACAAAAGCCATTGACTTCGACTTCTGTTTCTTGGCCCGTAATGCGAAGCAGTTCTTCGTTAGATGGCCTTTCCTACCGCAATAAAAACACTCGCGGGTCTCGGGCCCCTCCCTCCTCTTCTTCTTGAACTTCCTTCTGCTACTTACCGGTTGATGTTGCTCCCGCTTCTTAGCCCCTGGTTGTAGCTGCTCCGCTACTTGCAGTATCTTGGCTGGTTCTTTGTCCTTGGCCGTAGTGGCGACGACAACTTTCCGTTGATTGTCCAGCTCAGCCTCGCTGTGAAGTGTGTTTAGCACTTCCTGCAACTCTACGACGTTGCCACCACGTACATCCTTGTCGCACATGCGCACTACACCACGGAACTCGACTGCAACACCTTGTAATACGAGCTTCGCCATCTCATCGTCCGTGATGGGATCATTCATGCTTCGAAGTTGCCGTCTGATGTGTTCCAGGTCGTCGAGGTGAGACTCCATGTCCGTGTCTGCCATGTAGACAGCTTCTTTCTCATCATCAACGCGTTCGAGAAAGCACGCTTAGTCTTTTCACGTCCAAACGCTTTTAAAATTTTGTGAGCGCTGTCGAAGTTGCCGATTCGAGACGCGTCGTTCGTGAGCCCACGACGTAGTATAGCGTGCTCATCGAGCTGTCGTTGGAGGTCCGCATCATTTGGATCTCGTGCTTCCGACCTGTCGACAACATACCAGCAGCTTCTCTGCGTCCAGTATGACCGCAGCGTTTCCTTTTACAGATCGAAACCGCCTGCTTTGTCATACTTCGGAAGCTTGTTACTGCCAACAACGGGAGCTGCTGCTTGTGCCGCCGGACCAGCAGGTTGGCCTTGGTCAACCATGCTTGAATAGGTATATAAAGCTTGGGCTCGTAACCTGAGAGCGTCTCTGATCTCCGACAGATCTTGAGCACTTCTTGGGTCTGCGTACGGCTTACCTGTGTAGTGGAGGCGAAAAGAGAATGCGAAAGGGCAGACACTTGTAGTTAAGACACATAAACCGCAGGCAAAATGTTTGCCGACCCCCGAGCGTGTATTCTCCAGCAGAAGTATTAGCTTGAGCCAGAACTAAATTAATTTCGAGGCTGGGACATCAGTAGATTTGCCTTTACCTCCGAATGGCCAATTGAGTTTAATTGGGCCTAATTCTTCCTCTTCGTCGTGTCGCGCCCTTCCTCTAATCGGTGTCGTGTATCTTGGGCCGGCGTAGGAGGTAGTAACGGACGCGCCCTATTAGAGTCCAGACTATATTTAGTGCCGGGCGAAAGTGATAGAGAGGACTTTAAACGGGTGAGGACTTTATTCCTTGCTGATATGATTAGTGTACCAGGTTGATATCGTCTAACGCATCATCTAACCCTAATTTTTTTTAACAGATCGACGTATTCGTCCATGTGCGGTTCCTTCGACCACTTTTCACGAAATTTAGCGCCAATCACATCGTGCTTGGACATAAACCACGACGAGGGGTATTGGAACTTGGTTCCGTGCACTTTCACACTTGCAATGAAAAAGAAGACTGAATTATTTGAGCGTTGTGCTCCACCAGAGCTCCTAACAACACTCACGGGTTCAACCCCGTTCTCATACAACGATCTGATCTACTAGAGTCTCAGCTATTTTCTCAGTAGCAGCTTCTCAGCTCCTTTCCCAACTCCGTTTAACCAGACCTCTGGAATGAATTCCAACACGCCCACCTCGAAGAGCACTCTTCGACTATTTCGCATCTCCAACTCCTGCCAGTCGCAGCATCTCTCCCAGTTTCTTCTTATCAAGAGGCTTCGTGAACATGTCCGCCGGATTCACCTCTCCCTTCACCTTGTGCAAGTCAATGACACCTTTCTGCGCTTGTTCACGCACGAAATGCCAGCGCAGCTCAATGTGACGTGTTCGAAGGCTGTATGTAGGATTCGTAGCCATTACATGAGCCGCTTGATTGTCGATCCCAATGCGTAAAAAAACATGGTGATGCGGCAAAATTTCTTGCAAAATGTTGCTCTCCGCTACTGCCTCCATACTAGCTTCGCACGCAGCCACATATTCTGCTTCAGCTGTTGACAGTGCAATGATCGATTGGCGTTTTGACATCCATGCAATTGCTCCACCAGCTAACAAGAAAATGAAGCCTGTAGTGCTCTTGCGTTGCTCTGGATCACTGGCCCAATCACTATCACAAAATCCTTCAAGGACTACTTCATTTGTCTTGACTTGCCTTCTCATATACTCAATTCCATGATCCAATGTACCTGCAACGTAGCGCAGCACTCGCTTCAGTGTACCTACGTGTTTCGGTGATGGCTTCCCCACAAATCGACTTAACTGACCCACGACATACGCATAATCTGGTCTCGTACTTGTGGCAAAATACATTAGCATTCCAATTACCTCACGGTATGGAAAACTAGTGTCCGAATCCTTATCATCTTTCATAGGAGCCATGCGTACGTTGGTTTCCATGGGATTTCCCACAGCATGTGCATTCTGGTAACCAAATTTGCTCAGGATCTCACGCGCATACTTGCCTTGATGAATCACTATCTTCTCCGATGATTGCTTTACCTCCACGCCCAGATACTGATTTAGCAATCCTTGATCCTTAATCATAGGCTTTGTTCAATTCGTTGAACAGTTTCTTCTTGTACTGTTCGGCGTTTGTTGCCACCAGTATATCATCTACGTACACTAGTACATAGGCTATCGTTTCTCCTTCAAACCGGTAGTACAAACAAGGCTCAGTTGATGACCGCTGGTAGCCATGGTCGATGAACCATTGGTTGAGCTCTGAATTCCACTCACGTCCTGACTGGCGTAGACCATACAACGCTTTCAGTACGACATACACATGTCCATTCACCTTACATGGGTATCCGTTGATGGAATGCAGATACTGTTTAATCCCCAGCCAGGCATTCAAGTACGCGGTGTTTATATCGCCACCGTATACACTCAGATTCAACTCAGCTGCGATCGCCAATAGCAACCGGAACGAAGACATCCTTGCAACCGGCGCAAACGTCTCTCGAAAGTCGATGCCAGGTCGTTGGCGATTCCCCAAAGCTACAATACGCGCCTTGAATCTAATCACATATCCTTGGTGATCAGACTTCAGGGCGTATACCCACATCGTGCGCACAAGCAATGCGTCTTTTGGCTTCTCTTCATCGGGAATCTCATTTATGACACCCTTTGCTGTCAAAGCAGCCATTTCTTCCATCTCAGCCTGGAGGTAAAACTCTCTCCACTTTGACCGCAGCATTTCACGACGATTTCGAGGTATTTGTACGTCATTTGCCCTAATAGGCTGACCGTTCTTCTCCAAAATGCGTGGTGTGCTGAGCGTCACGTTCATCACAAAGTCATCATAGTAACGAGGTCGTCGCCGCTCGTGATACTCTCTAAGGCCAGTGCGAGTCTTCTTCGCATCGTTCTTAGCAGCATCTTGCTCAACTCGTACTACTTCTGAAGGTGTCTCTTCACGGTGTGTTCGTTTCCCTGTTTGTTTCTGTTGTACCATAGGGATGACCGTGCTTGCATCAACCACATCACGACAATATCCTCCATTTTCGTCTTCTGCAAGATTTGTGCTACATCCGACAGATATCTCGGTGTTCTGCTCCAGTACCAAGTCACTTTGTAGCTGAGTCACCTCGCCGCATTCACTGGTCTCATCTGGTGCTAGAACACTCGCGACAGTAGTTTCCTCATCACTAGGAATCTGTTCTTCATCGTCATCAAACTCCTGTTCGGCAACGGACGATCCACAGGTTCCAGCCACTGATCCACTTTCACTTTCAGCGAAATCGGTTCTTTCCTCGTTACGTTTACCGTCACTAATCTCGCAACGTTCAAGAATACTACAATCTTCAGGAACGCTAACATTTTGCTCCTCATCCACAGATTTGTAGTTCTGGTTGCCACCAACCTCTTGCGGTTGTTCTTCTTCATACTCACCCCCCTTGAGTTCAGGAGGTGATATGTCACTGAGCTCGCTCAACTCACTCATCCCGTCATCATCACGAGAGTCATAGTCCTCGTCATCTCGATGAGAGAAATGAAGCGAGGTTAATCCATTCTCACTCACCTCAACTTCATGGCGATCCCGATAAACTACATCTTCTGCTACTCGAAGATGAGGTACGAATTTCGCTGTGTGTTCTTCAGGAAAGTACACTTTACACCCCACCACATCTTCTGCATACCCAAGCACATAGCCAATCTTGACATTTGCTTGTTGCTTCTTTCGTCCAGTGACTGGAGCATGTACATACGCCAGTGCACCAAATTTTCTGGTGTGGTGTAAGTACCAAACATCTTCTCGTATGGAACACCTCGAGTTCCCTTATTGTAGACTCGATTCTTCACATACACCGCGTTTCGCATCGCTTCAGGCCAAAGGCTTCGTGGGAATCCAGCATGTGCCATCGTGGCTTTGCTCATGCCCTCCAATGATTGATGAGTCCTTTCACACAAGTTCAGCTGTGAACTTTTAGGCCCAACTTTTACGTGTTCAATACCTTTGGAGGCATACCATGCTGCAATTTCATCATTGAAGAATTCGCCGCCTTTATCGCTCCATACTTGCTGTACCTTGTACTGAGCATCACTGGTATTGCGACCTGCTTGTCGCTCGGCCCAGAGAATATATTCTTTCATGTGCATGCTCACGGTCTTGCCACTCTTGTCCTTCAGCAAGTAGATCTTAACAAAACGGGAAAAACCGTCCATGACCACTAACACAGCTTGATACTGAGTTGCATTCGTTTTCTCGGGAATTAGTAAGTCGGCAAACACCACTTGGTTAGGCTTCTTAATTTCCCGATCCAACTGTTTGCGATGTGCCTTTTTCTTCTGCTTGCCGAGATGACACGCATCGCATGTGTCTTGCTGACGTTGAGTCAGCAACATGCCACACACTAATCCTTTGTCGACCATTGTCTTGAGATACTGAGGACATGTATGCCACAGTCGCTCGTGCCAAAGCGCCAAAGCCCCAGCTCCATCGGCCATTGTGTAACTACACAAAGGACCTTCATTCGGTCGCACAATTGCTCTTTGAGACGGATCTGCTGCTAGGAATCCCCAAGTTGCATCTTGAGGAGTGTCCATAGCCACTACTCTCCCTTCTCGAGAGACTGTAAAGGTCCGTGTTGTAGTGTCATAGTGAAAGTCAAAACCTTGCCCAATCGCAAGCCCAGGCGAGAACAAACCATACTCTGCGCCAGGGATGTAAAACACGTCCTCAACGTAAGTCACAACTTGTTCTCCATCGACTTCGGTGGTTAATGCAACTGTTCCCACGCCAGCAATGCGTGACGCAATTGCGGGTGTTACTCCACGAATACTTTGCACACTATTCGTATCCTCAGTATAAGACACAAACTCAGAAAAGTTTCCTGTCACATGCGAATTTGAAGCCGTGTCAAAGTACCACCAGTTACCACTTGACTTCACAGCAGCTTGATCACGG